TGGAAGTGATTAGCAAAAGGGACATTCACTGGTTTGGCATTATTCATGCCAAAACGCTCCAAGACCTTCTTAACGTAGCTTTCTTGAGTTAAGACCAATCTTTTCTGTCCACGATCACGCTGGATATCCATGGCAAGAATTTTCTTCTCTGCTCCCAAATCTTTTATTTCAAATTGACTACTAAGCTGTAACTTCAGAGAGTAAAGTTTAGACATATTCTTGGCAACAATAAGCATATCATCATCATACAACAATAGATAGACGCGAGTACCATCGACTAACTTCAGAAAATAAATGCTAATATCATAAGTACTCCTCAAATATCCGCTACTCAACATAAAAGAGTCAAACCTCTTATACCACTACATCGGAGACTGCTTCAATCCAAATATAGATTTCTTCAACAAATAGACATGGTCTTCATTTTCTCTGATTTCAAAACCCTGGGGTTGCTTTATGTAAATATTCTCTTTAGGTTCCCCATGTAGAAAGGTTGTCTTAACATCCATCTGTTCTAACTCTGAATCCTCAATGGCAACCAAAGCAAGCAAAACACGAATAGAGCTATGTTTGACAACATCTGAGAAAACATCATTAAAATCAATAAATTGCACCTGACTATAGCCCTTTGAAACCAACCGTGCTTTATATCTTACTTTATCACCCCTTGGAATGCCTTTTTTTGTTTTTAAGACCCATTTGTTTCCAATAATTTCTTATCTGGCGGTGGTTTCACAAGAACCCAAGTAGTATTCTTTTGGAGAGACTCAATTTCTTCATTCATTGTCGCTATCCACTTAACAGAATCATCACGCTGAATTGCGTCTGAATATGTAAATGGCTCACTGTCTTCACATATTTCTTCTGCAACAGACAATGCATATGCGACAAAGTCTGTATACCACTGTGGAGGCCAAGTTTCTCTGCGCTATCTTCCAATGGCTATGAAATATGGCTCTTCTTCTGAACTTTCAATATCAACTGATTCTGTTGAATATAAGAGTCTGGTTGAGGAGTGCTAGAACAAACAATTTCGAACTCCATCTGCTTCTGTGTATTCTTACTTGAACTCAAAGACTCCTTGTTAGACAAAATAGCCATTTCATCAAAAGGTAACATCTCTACTGATTGCAAACTTTGGAGATTTGGGATCAAGACACCATAAACTATATCATTTCACTTTAGAAGCATAACCCAAGAAAATGCATTTCGTAGCCCTGAGCTCCTATTTTCCTTTATTTACAAGCATATAACTAAACACCTAAAAATCTTTAAATTAGAATAATCAGCAGGAGTACCTGACCAAACTTCTTAAGGAGTTTTTAAGTTGATAGCAGAATTTGGAGAGCGATTGACAATATAGGCAACCATATTGATTACTTCAATCCAAAATTCCTTAGTCAATCATGCATTGGAGATCATACATCTTGCCTTTTCCAAGAGCGTTCTGTTCATACGTTCAACCACGTCATTCTGTTGAGGTGTCATCCTGACTGTGCGATTCCAAACGATTCATTCTTTCTTACAAAACTCAATGAACTCCCCTCCGCAAAATTCCAAGCCGTTATCGGTTCTCAATTGCTTGATTTGTTTTCTTGTTTGATTTTCAATCAAAACTTTCCACTATTTGAAAAGTAGAAAAACATCATTCTTATTCTTAAAAAAGTATACCCAAAGATTTCTTGAGTAGTCATCAATAAAAGTCAGCATATACCTGGCACCACCTTTAGATAAAACACGAGATGAACCCCAAAGATCGAAGTGGATATAGTCAAGTGTACCTTTCCTCTTGTGAGTTGTTGGTGACTTGAAACTCACTCTTTTCTGCTTTCCGAATACGCAATGCTCACAGAACTCCAACGATCCAGTACTTTGTCCATAAATAGTCCTCTCCTGTTTAAGATTCGCAAGATTTTTCATTCATATGCCCCAAACGTATATGCCATAACTTGGTAATGTCAGATTCAACCAAAGAGGATGATGAAATAGTTGCATGCCCAGTAACAGTCGTTCCTTGCATAGTATACAAGCTTCCAGATCGGATACCTTTCATAATCACGAGAGCACCTTTGAAAATCTTCAGAACACCATTTTGACTCGTGTACCTACAACCAAGTGCCTCAAGTGTCCCCAAAGAGATTAGATTCTTTTTCAAATCAGGGACATGCCTAACATTAGTAAGTGTCCTCACAATGCCATCATGCATCTTGATACGAACAGTGTCCTTACCCACAACATTGCAAATAGTGTTTTTACCCATTAAGACAGTTCCTCCGTTGCCTGAATCAGAAGTAGGAAACGAATCCCTATTGGGACAAATGTGATAAGAGCATCCTCTATCCAAAATCCACTTATCTGTAGATCGCACCCTATCATGAATGAAAAGAAAAACACTACCCTCACTATCATCACCAACAACACTAACTTCACCGGTGTTATTTTTCATTTCAACCGATTTTCCCTTTTGCTTATTTTTCAATTTAAAGCAATCAACTTTAATGTGCCCTATCTTATGACAATAGTTATACATCATATTTCGATGTCTAGACTTCGATCTAGATTTAATATTGTCATAGTTTCTCTTATCCGATCTCCCTCTAGCAACTAGACTATCAACATTAACCCCAATATTTTCTCCAGTGATATCTCTATCTATTTGCTCATTAGATTTCAAGGCAGATTTGATTTCTTGATAAGAGATAAATTATTTTCCATAAATCATAGTATTACGAAAATTCTTAAGAGATTGGGGTAATGAGCACAAAAGCAGCAATGCCTTATCCTTATCATCTATCTTAACATCAATACTTTCCAAATCCAAAATAATCGAACCAAAATTATCAAGATAGGATAGTAACGATGTACCTTCCGGCATTCAAAGCATATAAAAGTTTTGCTTTAGGTACAAACGATTCTCGATAGATTTTTTCATGTACAAAGCCTTAAGTTTATCCCACATTGCCTTAGCCGAAGTCTCTGTAGCAACCTCCCGCAAAACCTCATCAGAAAGATTTAAGATAATGTTCGAACGGGCCTTCTTATCAACTCTAAAAATTTGGACTTTTCCATATCCTTGGGCATTTTTCAATACCATGGATAGCCAAATCAACTTCACTTTGGACCACAATGGCCTCCATCTTGAGCTGCCACAAAGTTGACATTTCTGTCAAACTTCTTCACTACCGTCCTTGCGATTGTCATTGTATGGTAACAAAAGGTTCCCACAAATATACCAAGGGCTCTGATACCAATTTGTTAGGATTATGGCCCCAAACAAATATTTGCAAAACCTTAATAATGACAAAAAGTAAGAACGAAAAATTTAAAGGACACAAGGATATACGTAATTCGGTCAAGATGACCTACATCCACAGGCAAATGCGGAGCAAACTTTCACTATCAAGAGAAAATACAAAATAGACTCGAATAACAATTCTAAAGCCCACAACTCCCGATCTCCCAAAACACCGTCAAGGCAAAACAAGTAACCCACAAATATATATGGAAATGCTACTTGTCTAATTTTTTGTGTGTCTAAAACTCAACCCAAGGCTACCAATTTATTGAAAAGGATTAATGGCAAATTACCAAAAGCAATGTAGGATAATATTTTTCTTCCAATTTTAAAACATTCTAACGTGCGACAAAACCACATAACATTATCAAATTTTAATATTTTAAGAAATAATTTAAAAATAATAAATTAATATACATTTAGAATAATATATTTCTCCATCCCAACTCAAAGTAATATTTTTCCATTTTCATTTGTCTTATTTAAAAGTATTATTTTCATATTTTAGAAAAAGTAATCATACACTAATACTAAAACACCCTTTAATTTTTACTTAAATTACAAACATATCATTATACATACAATAATTTTATACATAAAATTAAAGAACAAAAAATATCAAAATTTCTTAAACACTTTCATTAACAATAAAATACTACTATTATTTTTTAATCCACTTCAAAATTCCAAATGACCTATTTCGATTGGGGCGAAGGGAGTATATTAGTTTATTTTTAGATTTATAAATTTAGTTTATTTTTAGATTTATAAATTTAGTTTATTTTAAAAACTTACTATAAATTTTGAAAAATACTATATAATTATAATTATTAAAAATAAATATTATTTTACTATTTTTATAGTTTTTTTTCCAATCAATTTTTAAAATATTAAAATTTGATTATTTTTTATATTTTTAAATAATTGTAAAAAATATTTTTATTGAATTGTAAATATATATCAAATAATTTGAAAAAAAAAAAGTAAAAATGATAATGGTGTGGCCTATAATATAACTATATTCAAAACATCATCGTAAACATAATTATATTAAAAACAAAATCGTGAATATGGGCATGTACATGACTATTCATAATACAACCATCAACACAAACATGAACATAGCCGTGCTCTGGCCGTGACAAAAATTGATAAATTTTAGTTTGAATTAGACAAAAATTGATAAAATATTTTAAATAAGACCAAAATGGTAATTGCAATTTGAAATAAGATCAAATTCCACATCTCCAAATCTTGCATGTGATACATAGTTGTCTAGTGTAACTTGCCTTATGTAGTCTTTACAAGCTATTAGATTCGACCTTAAATTTAACTAAAGTGGACCCGAATGACAGCGTGAACATATTTTCACGTAATAAATAAATAAATAAATAACTTTTGCTCAATATAATATTATCCTAAATTCTATTGGTTGTCCTTGTCATGCATGTAACACATATAAATAATTATATGTATGTATAATATTATAAAATAAAATTCCAAGTAACTTTTAGTATTACTGGAGGTCACTTTCTAATATTTGTCATTTAGTTCAACCAACATTTCAGAAAATTGATGACTCTCTAGTTTCTTTGTACCCAAATAATTAATAACCATCCACTTCAGGCCCCTTATGACGTCACTTCCCCCTGATATGACGTCACCAAAAGATTTTATTCTTATTAATTCCCAATTAATTAACAAAAAAATAGGGTTTCCAATTGGGAAGAAGATTAGAAGAAGACGACCAGCTGCACAGTGGTAGTGGTTAAACCCCTAATTGCGATTATTCAGGTAGGGTTTCAAGGAATCTTTGGAGGATTTTCTTTCGTCAATGGGGAGGTTGAATTTTGACGAAATATCAAAATTAGGGTTTGTTTATGTGGGATCGGATGAAGTAATATAAAGTAATCACTCCCAGCTGGGAATCCCAATTACAGATCAAGGGAGGAGGAGAAAAGTCAATGGTGGATTTCTTCGTCTTCTTCCTTGTTACGTATGCCATTGCCAACCGCAATTCATTATTGCTGAGAAAATATTGCAAATCTGCGAATAATAAATTAATTCCTTTTTTTAGAGTGAGTTCCTTTTAAGCAAGCAATAATTCATTCGCATATTCCCTCCCAGTTGCTGCTGCTTCCAGTGAATGGTATTGGACATTAAGTGCTCTCTCCGCTTCGAACCCTAATTAGGGTTTGATATGGGGGCGCTGTGATTGTGTTAATGTCTCGGTGATTATTGTTGCAGTTGTAGCTTCCTCTTCTTCTTCTCCTCTCGATTTTTGTTCATTTTAGGTATGGAGAGATCCGATAGAAGGGAAATTTATGGCTTCTCGAAGAGTTCGAGCAGCTCAATTTCTGGTTTGAAATTTGTGCTTTCTGTTGTTCTGATCGATCTGTATCTCGATTGTTTTGATTTCATTGTGAATTTTTGTTTGTTGGATTGATTGATTGATTGATGCAGAGAAGATGATGTTCGATGCATCTCAGTATGATTTTTTTGGGAAAGGTGTCACAATGGATGGAGTTGAATTGGAATTGGAAGAAGAGGATGGAGCTGACGATGCTGTAATTAGGGGCAGATCTGGTGGAGAAGATGACCTGAATAATGAGTATCATTTGTTCGAAAGAGACGAGGTATCATAGCGTCGAATCAAGCTGTTCTGTATGGTTTATTTTCATCGAATTGGTGTGGAACTTAGCTTGTTGATTGATCATTGATCATTGGTCTTTTCCATTGATTTGAGTCATAATCTTCTTAGTTTATACATGTCGAAGAATATGCCTCTGTGTTGTTGATATGCACGGCTGTTGATTCATTCCGTTTTCCTTTACTGTAGGGATCGGGATTGGGATTAGGATTAGGATTAGGATCGTTGTCTGAAATAGATGATCTTGCGACGACTTTTGCAAAGGTAAATGTATTTCCCCTGTTTGGTTATTGATTGCATACTTGTGCTCCAGTTCTTTTTCATGCTATGATCTGCTTACGATTGAAATTTTACGTATAGAGGATATCTGTTACGTCCCTTGTGTAGTTGTTGAATTGCAATTGATAATCGCCGCGTATTAGCCCCCTTTGAAACCAGGGAATTTCGAAGATCTATTGTTATTATTACTATTTTTAAGTATTTCGGCGAAGATGATTTTTCTCCCTTCATTCAGTTAAACAGAGTTGTTTCCGGACCAAGACATCCGGGAATCATTGGTGATCGAGGATCTGGATCTTTCTCGAGAGAAAGTAAGCCTCTCGAATTTTTCTACGTTATGCTTTCAACATTTGTGTTTGTGTTTAGGCTTCGGATCGATTTTGCAATGTTTCGAATGTTTTAGGTTCATCGGCTACAGAATGGGGACGGGAGGTCGAATTTCCCGACTGGAACGACCATCACATGTCCGATTCCGAATTCTACGAGGAAAACCAGCGATGGTCGTCGCAGCCTCATCTCCCGGAATCCCTAAACCGAGCATCATCTTACCCCGAGCCGCAACAGCTGCCTCTGCAACACTGCTCGAGTGAACCAATATTCGTCCCAAAGTCGTCATCCTTCGCTTCCTTACCTCTGCGGGACAATTCCCCCTTGCCCGTCTCCGCTCGACATTTATCAGCCTCGCCCTACGACGTATCTCACTTAGCCTTGCGGAATTCCTCCAGACTGAACCGATTACAAAACCAGTGGAGTAGCCACGCCGGCGTGCTTCATGGTGATCATTCGATCCTCTTGAACAACATCCTGCAGCGTCGTTGCGGCCAAAATGGATTATCATTCCCGACTCAGCTGCTGTCTCCTCTGTCACAGAATTTTCGACCTTCGATGGCCCAGTTTTCGGCGTTACAGTCCCAGATATACAACACCTTTCCTTCTCCGTTGCAGCCGAGTAAATGCGGGGTATCCTCAAACAAGAGGGAGGCGAAGCTGCGATCGGCGCCAAAGGCTAAACATTCGGTACGTTTCTCAGGTTCCGGCGAAAGTAATCCACCCCAGTTTCGGTCCAAGTACATGACAGCCGAAGAAATTGAAGGTATTCTCCGGATACAGCAAGCCGCGACCCATGGAAACAATGACGTCTACATCGATGATTACTACCACCAGGCTCGTCTCGCCGAGAAATCGGGGACAAAGTTCCGGTTCTGCCCGCAGCATCCGAAAGAGCAATCGTCGAAATCCCGGAACAACAGCGCTGATCTTCAACGACATCTCCATGTCGATGCTCTCGGAAAGATTTCCTTCTCTTCGATCCGTAGGCCGTCTCCGCTCTTCGAAGCTGATCCTCCTCCGTCGCCTTGTGGCGACAATAATCTCAATCTCAAATCTTCCGGAAAGCCGCTGGATCGAGAACCGATGGCTGCAGCCCGGGTAACCGTCGAAGACGGGCATTCTCTACTATTGGACGTCGACGACATTGACCGGATTCTACAGTTTACGCAGCCGCAAGACGGAGGGATGCAGCTGAGGCGAAAGCGCCATATACTCTTGGAAGGCTTTGCCGCTGCCCTTGAGCTCGTCGATCCGCTCGGTAAAAGCGGAAACTCTATCGATGACATCGTGTTTCTCCGTATCCTTTCCTTCTCGAAAGGCCAGAAACTCGTCCGGAAATTTCTTCGGCTTCTTCTTCCCGGGAGCGAGCTTACTCGGATTGTATGCATGGCTGTGTTCCGGCATCTAAGATTTCTATTTGGGAGCCTTCCACTCGATCCCGAAGATAAAAATACGGCTAACGATCTCGCCAAAGCCGTCTCAATTAGTGTTGCGGGCATGGATCTTAATGCCCTCAGCGCATGTCTCGCCGCAGTGGTTTGCTCCTCCGAGCAGCCGCCGCTTCGTCCAATCGGGAACCTTTCTGGTGATGGTGCCTCGATCATCTTGAAGTCTGTGTTAGAACGAGCGACGAGCCTATTGAGAGATCATCAGGTGGTCGGGAATTTCGCTGTTCCTCCGAACCCGGCCCTTTGGCAGGCGTCGTTCGACGCCTTCTTCGGTATTCTTACAAAGTATTGCATCAAGAAATACGATGGCATAGTCCAATCGTTGATCGATCGAAACATAGAGAACTCAGAGGAGATTGATTCGGAGGCTGCCCGGGCTGTAAGTCGAGAAATGCCGGTGGAAATTCTGCGTGCTAGTCTGCCGCACACAGATGCGACCCAGAAGAAAGTGTTGCTTAACTTTGCCCGGCGCTCGATGCGGATCGAATCTTCGCAGTCGACAAGTGAATCATAGAGTCAGTCGATTTGAGTTTTGGATAGTGTATGAAGCGCCGAGGCAATCGTTTTATTCTTTGCCTGTGCGCATTGCCTCGTCGGTTAGATCATCTTCTACCTTTAATTGGTCAAGTTCGATTCATGTTTGTTCGACAGAAGGTCGAGTTCTACTCGTGTTCGTTCGTTCCTTCGCTCGCAGTATAGGTAATACAGTGTGTTGTGCGGCGATACGAGTGTTTTGTGTGTGTGAACACTTTCTTTCCTTGTTTCATTCGTTATTCAGAAAATACTTTTTCGGTTAATTTTAAATATTAATTATAATATTTTATAAGTAATAAGAATAAAAAATATTTTTATTATTAAATTCATTTACTTTGAATTTGGTTTTTGTTGTAATATTGTGATAAGATGTTAGGTGTTATGACAAGTATTATGCAAATGTATAGATCTCATTATTTGCTTATTGCATGTATGGTCAAGAATGACTAAATATGGTCCGTAAGGGATGGCCTAGCAGTGTGAGGATTAGACTTGTGACCGTGAGGTCAATAGGTTCAAATCATCGATGCCTTAGATTACCTGTTACGTATGGTTTGTTTAGTGTGATTTGTCTGTCGAGTCTAATTTTCACGGTATTAGGTTCGATTGGGAACCTAATTTGCACGGTATTAGGTTCGGTTGAGGGTTTACCCAGTGCACCCTTTCGGGTAGCGGCTGCGAGTTCTCAAATATGCTATTTCTTAGAAATGAAAAAGCTCTATTCGTAAACCCCTGTATAAATATATATATATATATATTATACAATTCATACATACACACACGACCATACTTACATTTATACATATACAATTTTATATATTATATCTAATTTTGTCATATATTTTATAAAACTTTATCAGCACGAAACTTTGTCGAGAAAGTATTAATATAAAAATAGCGTATTTTTTTTATACTTTTTCAAAATTACTTAAACAGCTTGCAAAATTTGTTTTCAAAGAACAAAAATATCCCAAAGTTTTACCCGGATACAATAAGAAAATATCAAAGTGCTGCGGAAACTCTGCCAAAATTTTAAGGTATTTATTTCATTATTTCTTTCAATACAATTTATAACATATAGATTTTCAATTTTCACATCGGCTATTATAGAGAAAACGATACCCGACGATGTCAATATTCAATAAATAAATCTTAAAATAATCCTAGTGATGACTATGTGATTTTTTTATTGTACCCATAAGGTACATATTTTAATAACCTTGAAGATTTATATTTTGAAAATCTTCGATGTTGTATATTGAGAACTCTGGAAGTTCATATTTTAAAAATCTCCGATATTGTATATTGAGAACTCTGAAGGATCATATTTTGAAAATCCCTCGTGATGTATATTGAGTACTCTGAAGTGTATATTGAAAACCCTGAAGGTTCATATTTTAAAGGGTAAACTGTTTTTTGTCTCGTAATTGGACCCCATTATCATTCCTGTAAGTGGAGCTTGTCGCAAACTAGTCTCATAAGTAAAAATTTTTCGTTGTTTTAGTCCTCCGGCGCCGGAGATGCCCGCGTGGCTCGCCGGAGGTGATGTGTCCGCCAGGTGTCGCTGACCTGGCGGACACGTGGATTTTTTATTTTATTTTTTCATTTTTTTAAAATTTTTTGAAAACTTATTTTTAATTTATTTTAAATTTTATTTGTATTTTTTTTATTTTTTTTTATTTGGTCCAATTAAAAAAAAACAAAAAATAAAAAATAAAAAAAAATAAAATCCACGTGTCCGCCAGGTGTCGCTGATTTGGCGGGACACCTGGCGGACACATCACTTCCGGCGAGCCACGCGGGCGTCTCCGGCGCCGGAGGACTAAAACAACGAAAATTTTTCACTTATGGGATTAGTTTGCGACAGGCTCCACTTACAGGACTAAAATGATAAAGGGGTTCAGTTACGGGACTAAAAAAACAGTTTACCCTATTTTAAAAGCTGCATATTGTGAAATCTCCCAATATTATATATTGTGTACCATGAAAGTACATATTTAAATTTCTGATAGTTATATTTTGAACACCCTGAATGTGCATATTTTAAAAATACCGATGATTTATATTTTGAGCACCCTGCAGGTGCGATGTAATAATATACATTCAAAACTCCTTATATATAATTATTTTTACTCCTATATTTGGTAATAATAACAACTATGAATTTTGTTTAAAATTATGATATATTTATTTTGTGATATTTCTTCAAGAAGAATAAATATGAATGCAAGACGCGCTATAATGAAAAATACCGAAGATATGTCTCATTGATAGTGCATCAACACACACCATCTTAAAAAATAAAAAATATTTCACCAACATGAAGTTGAGAAAAATTAAGGTGAATACTAGAAGTGGTTGTGCGAAATTGATTGAGAGCTTCCACTACCAGAATTAGAAGGCATTGGCGCGGAAGAAACCGCGCCAAAACCACAACTATTTTAATTAAATGGCACGGTAGTGGTCGAGGTTTCAAGACGCTACCAAATCATGGTGACTAGATTCTTTGCAGCGGTTTGCGGAACCAAAATTAAAAATTATTGGCGCCACAATCGGTGCCAAAGAAAAAACAAAAATAAAAACAAGGCACCAAAATCAGTGCCACCAAAAAAAAAAAAGTAATAATCTATTTTTTGGCGCCGAATTCGGCGCCAAACTATAATATTTTTTTTTGTGTTGGCACCGACTGTTGTGCCATAACATCCAAATTATCATTTAATTTTATAGTACATTGAAATAAGACAAGATAGGATGAAAAAATTATAGAATGTTAATATGCTATAAAATTTGCTACAAAAATTATTAAGACATTTGAACTATTCCCAAAACTGAACACAAATTGTAAATCTCATTAATAAACATTGAACAATTAGATTAAAATATGATGTTACTCTTTCCTAATATATTACAACTTCATGTCTTTTTTGTAAAACAAGTACTAGAGCATTTTTGCACTTCCTCTGAATCTAATGGAATGAGCTCTAATCTGGCATTGAGATCTCCATCAAATATTGCAAGATGCTTTCTGGTCAGATCAGTAACATATTTTGTGAGCAAACTTGTCTGGTTAGTTCTTATCTCCATAAATAAATCTCCAATCTTTAGGGAGAAATCTTGCAATTTTCCTTATATACAAAAAGGTTACATGAAATTTCTGCCATTTGAACCAATAGTGTGGGGAAATATCCAATCAGGTGGTAAAACATAATATGGCATACCTCTGAAATTGTTTTTAGCATACAACAGAGATCTATTTAAAAGCATGATATTGATCCTGTGTAGATCCATAAAGGACCACCGATTTTGTACTCTTTTCCACAGTGGCTACCTCTTTAACCAACAACAGAAGTGAGCTAAATTTAAATGAAAAGCTTATATATCCACCCTATAGTCAACAGGTAGATACTTACAGGGAATAAACTAACAGAGTAAAAAATAAGAATATGTAAAATAATGAAGATGAATGAGTTCATAACTTACCTAAATCTAAAATTTCAACTCCAATGTATGGAACAAGAGCCTTTGGTATAACAATATTTGTATGGCTAGCATATGCCATCAACAATGGGAGAGTAGCAATAGATGGCAACACCAATTTTTTGTCATGACATTTGTCTGCCAAATACACAGAACAATAGATATTGAATTACATTACGTAGCTTAAACATCATCCTTTGATCAGGTTTTCGAAGAATAAATTAGTGGATGGATTCCGACTTACTCCTTGTAGAGAGCTAAATCCAAGTCTAGCACCAATGGCAAGTCGGGGTGGATCAAAAAGAGAGTTGTAGTGATTCCCATAGTGGTAGTTGACTCTTATCGAAGGGGTATCCCTATTGTAGCTTCCATGGAAAATGTTTACAGGTTCTAGAAGCAAGAATGTGATTGTTAAATCAGAAAATAGTTGCAAAACTAGATTCATTACAAGAATGAATATCGGAAATCAATTGTGCACCTATGTTGTATAAGTATATGTAAATTGACCTATTGTACATTTCGGATAAAGCATAGATCTCGATGTTATTTCCGTAGACCTGCAAGCCGTCAAATAGGCTAAACTACTAATAAATCATATAAAATAATGCATTCAATAATCACCACTGATCGGCTCGAATGCTCCAGATAATAAACATTTGAATTCGACACTTAGTCAGACAAAGAAAGTATTTTCCAGAATCTGTTTTGAGAATCACCAAAGCATTTTAAATGCAAAGAAACCAGTATAGGGCTTAAGGCATGAACTTAAGTTTACTGGAACTTCTAAATTTATGTTGAAATCGATTCAACTGTGCACCAAACTATTTATTCACTATTAATGTAATCTTTTCTTGTCTGTTAAAGTAGCAAACAAGATTATGCTGCCAAAAAGGACATAACTTAAAAATTCCAGGGTGCATTGATTAGTTCATTTATCTTATCGCATTATTGTCATGAAGAACACATTACCAAATGCTGTAAAACTTAGAGAAGTTATGATCTTACAAACACACCTACAAACTAGATGCGCCCTAGTCAAAACTACAATTCAATCTATAATCCGAATGCACTAAACACTGTTAAAAAATTATTATAGTAGTTTATCTTGCCTCAGTTGTGTAGCCTTAATTTGTGCCTCTTAACAAATGTTCGCTATCAGATGTCACATAGTCGATTGAACAGATTTAGCATTTCTTTCAGCCTTATTAGTTGATGAAGACATGGCTTGATTAGTAGTCATGTTTTTGCCAATAGTCGGAATTTTGAATTGGTTTGGCTCATTAGGAGATTCAGTTGCAAGAAAAAACATGATAAACTTCTTTAGGGAGTAAAGTCTCAAAATAGGACAACTAAAATAGCTTCACAATAAAACTTGAATGCCAATACCTTGTCTCTTTCCGCTTACAATATGAAGTGAAGCCTTTTGTGATGAACTATGAGAACTGATCATTCTCTCAAGTAGACAATGCAAGCAGAAGTTTCCTTAAACATATTATGGTAATTGCACACAAAATTCAGATCAAATTTCAACATACACGCATCTCCTAAATTAGAATTGAAAATTAAAACTCAAGAGAAAGAGATTTAAGCTAATTAAACTCACACTTTAATGGATCCATCTGCTGTGCCCTTCTTGTTAATGTCATACCGAACAAAATTCTCCTCACCACATACCTTGACGCCACAGGAATCACTCAAACAGTGACAAAAAAGCCTAGAATGTTGATTACCGTGCTAATCAAGATTGGCTCTTTAGCTAGTAATCAATTCCGTAGCGAGCTTTCGG